GTGTTATACTGCTATATCGGATGAGCCTACAGGGTCACACACACAGCAAAGGACGAATGCGCGAAAAGAGACGAGAAAATCCAGGTGGAGCGGAGGCCAGACCGACCGGTCCAGAAGGTCTGGACCGATCGGTCCAGCTAACCCAGACCGATCGGTCTAGACGTAGACCGGTCGGTCCAGAGGTAACGTGTGAGGTCCGCAAATTGTTCCAGACTGATCGGTCCAGACGTTAAGCTCCAGACCGATTGGTCCAGGTCTGGACCGATCGGTCCAGACGTCGGGATTTACTAAACTCGCTCTAATTAGGGTTTTAAGTGGGATCAACTTTGGGGAACGCGACCCAACTCTTTTGACACGATTTTCAGACCCTAGGGAGAGGTTTGGAGAGTGAGAAAGCTAAGAGAAAGATCCCTGAAACCCTCGCGTGAAGAAGAAAGCGTTCTTCAGTCCTAGCAGACAAGTTTCAACCGTTGGAATCCTTTCCGCCGTGTGGATACGTGTAGAGGGCAAGGTATTCTTCCTGTCTACAGTGATCAGACGCGTTCTTCGATTGATACAGGCCCCGGATCGATTGAGGTAAGCGTTCTAACATTTCTACAAGATCATGCATGATAGGTTTTAGGGTTTCGTCAAAATTTGTGTTTTTCATCCGCTGCGCAAACCCTAGAACTGATCTCTTAGGAATTAGATTCGCTCTTGAGATCCCAGGAAAACCCAACATTAAGCAAATAACCAAACCGAACCGAACCGAACCGCTATTATTCGGTTCGGTTCGGTTCGGTTATTCGGTTAATAACCGAAATGGCCACCCCTAACGAAGCCTATCGCTAGGAATTTGTTTATTAGACATGTTAGATCCTTAGGATGTGAACTATGTTTATGTATTCAGTTGACTTTATTGTATTGTACGATCAGTTTTTAATAAGGTATTATTGATATCTATTCTGAGTCGTGAAAAGTACCACTAGTATAATGATTTGTATGTCCATAGGTTATGATTGGCTTTCTCACATGAGCAATCGCCTCTGACGCTCTGGGAGCGAGTAGAGATGAGACATGAATGAATTGGGTCATTGGGGGACGAACTCGATTTATTTCATTATATGTCGCCTTGGTAAGAACCTAGATGAGGCGGGAGCTGACATGGATGTTATTCCACCATCCATGAAACCTATGTAGAAGCCATGTGCGAATCCTATATGATGTTGTAGAGAGCAAGCATATTGTGAGTTCGGGTTAGTCACTTGAGTAGCAACTAGACTAGGACCTGCATGGTGTTGAGTGACATACACTCCGTGAGGGAGAATCTCCACCATAGCATACATTTCATACTGTATATGCTAGAGATATGACCAATCAAGTAAGTGAGTGAATGGATCCCTACTTCATCACTGTGTGAATACTTGATATCGTATATTGATTATACGAGTATACCCTTATGACTTTGACTATGCTACGAGGCGTAGAGTTGATGTTTGCTACTTTAGTGTGCTTCCTATGGTCACGAGTGATTCGATCTACTGGGGCATGTCTAGGAAAGCAGTCGACTCGAAACTAAGTAGTATAGAGTGAAAGGAAGGTAAAGTATTGTCATATTACTCATATGTGTTCACCGGCCGACCAGTTGTAATTTGTTGTGTACTTATCATAACTGGGAATACATATGGAGTAGTGGGAGTTAAGTATCGTCTTTATTTATTTTATTGAGGGGTCAAGGGATACTGGACTCGATGTGACAAAGTGAACCTAGGGTATAGAATACATCGTGTATTTATTTTCTTTTTCTTCCCCGAGGTTGATGTCTCCAATTCTGGCTTTGTGTGAGTTTCTAGTTTGGAGCTCCCGCATGCAGGTGTATTCGGTGGTCACATGACCCATTTGCTAGTATGAACTCAGAACTGGTAAAGTCATTGCCTTTCACGGGTGAGTGGGAGATGACGGTTGAAACACCCGGTGAAAGGGTGTATGTGAGAAAAGACATAACCGTAGGATATAACCATTGTACTGGTTGCGTCTCTTTCATAAACACCACTTGAATCCTATAAAAGTATAGGTTCCATATGACAAAAAAAGATATGAAAAAAACACCAGAAAAGAAAACGTGAGTTATCAGTTTTGGTGAGTAGCATTTGGGTTGTGAATCTGCGATTCCGACTCTAGTAGTCGGTTTCCGACCATTGTCCAGAAAATCAGAAGACTGTGATTTCAACCAAGGAATAGATCAACAAAATAGGTACGCAACTACACTTCCGTAATCTTACATAGACAACAAACATTGTGCCATAATTATGATGGATTGCGATGATGTTACAACGGAAGTCTGTAAACACACGTTAAACATGTGTATTGAACATAAACATGCGGCGTATATAATCTATCGTAATTATGACGAAAACCGTGCGACAAATTTAGTCATTAATGACGACCGATGAGATACCCCGTCATTATGCGCCACAAGTATTCATGGCAGATTTACCGTTGCAAGCTAATTTTCATCCCAAATCGTAGCTTTCTTTTACGAGATTATTGCGACGAAATATTTCGTCACAGCCCACAATAGTTGTAATTGTTTTTCAACAGTTTGCGACGACATTTTTAACTCGAATGCCTGTCGTAAATCCGTCAAAAATTTTGTTTTGCCATGTAAATTTCGTTGCTATTCGTAGACTATTTGTTGTTTAAGACTCTACGGCTCACTATCCCATTGCTACCCATGCGACTTGTTAACATTGACTCTGCAACTCAAGTACTCCAACTTGTTGATTCATGCGATTAGTTGACCTTTGCGATTTCATTACTCATGATTCGTTCACTCCATTTGGAAGGTTCCAAATCCTAAATAATACTAAATTTCAAATCGAAAACAATAACTTAACATACCATTTTTTACTCCATCGACTTGTTCGATTTTCATATTCGAGGACGATGATGAGTTGGACGATACAACCATTTCGATTTTCTTATCTGCAAAAAATCCCCTTGGAAAATTATCCATTGAAGATAAAATTGTCCTTCTGAAAATTGTCGAATGAATTTCTTTTCATTTTTTCGAATAGTTATTTGAGTTTCGACGGGTTTTTTTGTCATCGTCTTTCCCGCACAATTTAAAATGATTTTTTTATATATAAATATACATATAGAACTTACATATATTATCCGTCATTTTCAATGAGAAAAATCCAAATATTTTGCCGGCAATCGTTTTCTTTTTTAATTGGTTCATTGTATTTTATCTTTGGCATCATTGTATTTTAAAATCCTAATATTAATTGTTAGTATCAAACAACCGTAATATTTTAGCTGGTTTATCTTTTTTTTTTCTCTGAAAAAGAAATGGATTTAACAAAAAAAAAAAGTTGTACGCAGAGAGTCAGAGACTACGCGTTGTAGTTTTCTTCTGTCCGAAGCAAGAGAGATCGGCCCAGCGTTAGATCGACGCTGAGTACAATGAGTCGGTTAAATCAAAAACTCCCTATAAATACCCAAAATCCCAAAAATTCCAATCGCATCAAATCCTTAATTCCCTGAAGAATTCTGAGATCGTTCCGTATCGTTTCCTTGGATTTCCCGAAGAATAAATACCTCAACTTTTCCCTCGTTATTCAGCAGAAAATTTCTAATCGCGTTCTTCTGATTCGACGAGGATTCTTTCTTTCTTTCTGGGGTTTCTTTCTTTCTGTTGATTGAATCATGGGCACTTCTCAAAGCCGTGAAGACCGAATCACCGATTCAGAATCGGAGTATGACGAAGAGGAAGAAGCAGAGGAAGAAGAATACGGCGATGCGGAGGATTCGAAGGGGCCTAGCTCGACATCTTCTTCTGCTTCTGGCGCAAAACTCCGTGGACCGTCGGATTCATCTATCGATGGTATCGATGAGAAGTTGAAATCCCTAAAATTGAAGTACTCATCATCGGGAACGCCCAAGATGAAAAACCCAGTTAAGCTTTATCTCCATGTCGGTGGGAACACGCCGAAAGCGAAATGGATCGTTTCGGATAAACTGACGTCTTATAAGTTCGTGAAAACCTCGGCGATTGACGGTGAGAATGTCGATGATTACGATGACAGTGAGGAATCACGTGGTGGAGGTGAGGCTTGGTGGTTTCTGGGTGTTGGGTCTAAGGTTAGGGCTAGGATTTCGACGGATGTGCAGCTGAAGATGTTTGGGGATCAACGTAGGGTTGATTTCGTGAGCAATGGCGTTTGGGCTTTGAAATTCTTCTCTGATGAAGATTACAGGGCGTTCGTGACTCGATTCCAGGACTGTTTGTTCGAGAACGTGTACAGGGTTAAGCCCACGGAGGAGAACAAGATCAAAATCTACGGTAAGGAATTCATTGGGTGGATAAATCCTGAATCAGCAGATGATTCAATGTGGGAAGATGCCGAGGATTCGCCACACGAATCCAAGGTAACTCCATCGAAGGAGAACATTGACTCTATCGAAGAGATCGAGGAAGAGGCAAATGGTGGAGTGCAGAGCTTAGCATTGGGAGCTTTGGATAATTCGTTCTTGGTTAACGATTTTGGAGTTCAGGTTTACCGGAATTTCGAGCGTGGGATTCACGGGAAAGGTATTTGTGTGAGATTCGATGGTGGGAACTCGAAAATTGGATCGAGTCCGAGCTATTCAACCCCGAAGAAAGCTCTTCTGATGAGAGCAGAGACAAATATGATGCTGATGAGTCCAGCGAAAGAAGGAAAACCCCATGCCACTGGTGTTAAGCAGGTCGATATAGAAACCGGGAAGATAGTTACGGAATGGAAATTCGAGAAGGACGGTACTGATATCACGATGAGAGATATAACGAGCGACGCAAAAGGGTCGCAGCTGGATCCATCGGAATCGACGTTTTTGGGTTTAGACGACAATAGGCTGTGCCAATGGGACATGAGAGACAAGGGAGGGATCGTACAGAAGATCGGATCTCCGGTCTTGGAATGGACTCAAGGGCATCAGTTTTCTCGGGGAACTAATTTCCAATGCTTTGCGACGACTGGAGACGGATCCATTGTCGTGGGATCGCTTGATGGGAAGATAAGGTTGTACTCGAAGACATCGATGAGGCAAGCGAAAACGGCTTTTCCTGGGCTCGGCTCACCAATAACACACGTCGATGTATCGTATGATGGAAAATGGGTTCTGGGAACGACGGATACATATCTGATCCTTATATGTACTCTTTTCACCGACAAAGATGGGAGAACGAAAACGGGTTTTAGCGGGCGAATGGGAAACAAAATCCCAGCGCCGAGGCTACTGAAGTTGACACCATTGGATTCACACTTGGCTGGGAAAGATAACAAGTTCCATGGAGGCCACTTCTCATGGGTAAGTAGTATTAACATAATTCATGTCTATACGCCTTCAATTACACGTTTTCGCCAATGATATGGTTATAGAACTTTTGTTAGAATAGAATCTAGGGCTCCAACGATTTTTTCCCGCAATTCTAGAATCCATAGACTCTTTCCATCCCCTTTTTATCTGAAAACTCGGGTTAGAGTTTAGGGTTTAAGGGCTGTGTAGGCAGTTACAAGATCTTCGACCGACCAAAACAAAGGAACACTAGCGGGTCAATGTGGCCTCCTAACGGGTCATAAGCCCTCTTCTTTGGTCTGCACTTTCTGATTCTTCGTTCGTTAGTATATGTGTAACAGATACCACTTTCTCGGAGAATGAAAATTGAAAATGTTACATGATATTTTTTCTTGCAGGTAACAGAGAGCGGGAAGGAAGAGCGACGGATAGTGGCAACGGTAGGGAAATTCAGCGTGATATGGGACATGGAGCGGGTGAAGAAGAGCGGGCACGAGTGTTACGGGAAGCAGCAGCAGCAGCAGCAGCAAGGCTTGAAGAGCTGTTACTGCTACAAGATTGTGCTGAAAGATGAATCCATCGTCGAGAGCAGATTCATGCACGACAGATTCTCGGTTAGCGACTCTCCCGAGGCTCCCCTCGTCGTCGCCACTCCTCAGAAAGTCAGTTCCATCAGTTTGTCGGGACGTCGGCTGTGAGAACTAAGAAGAGAGACGACACCCTTTTGCACTGTTTCTATGTTTTGTTAATATACGTTTTCCTTTGAAGCTTTGTGTTGTTTGTTGACAAATCCATGTATTCACACACACACACAAACATGATTTTGAAAAAAAAAATACCAAATGAATATAAATTTGTAACATTGAAAATTCGAGTTTGAAGATAATCAAAATGACATCAGAAATCACATCATAGATTTAAAAAGAAAAAGAAACTGTTGCCTTAAACAAAATTCCAACAACACAAGTGTAAAATAGACCAAGTGCGTGCGTGTATATATAAAGCCAATACAGAAGAGGAATTTAATTTACAAAGAAACTTTACCATCGTATTATACATAAGGAGAATAACGCAGACCCCAAAATCTTCCTCTTTCTTCTTCATCCAACCTAATCTATAAATAGTATCAAAAACCCGGAATCGGAAATGAGGCCAAATACCTGTGGCTAAGGGCGGCGCCCTCAACATGTCTCGAAGCCCTAATCATCGTCCTCCGAATCTGCCATTGTTCGCATCAATTTAGAAAAGATCAGACCGAGTTTAATACGTTCTCGTCATGCGTAGGAGAAAGTCGAGGAATTTTCAACATATGATCCAACTCAAAAGAATGGTTCTAGGCATGATTGAAAAAAAAAGACAGTGAACTGGAATGCATAACGGGAATATGTACCGAATAAATGGCTTATCTAAGTTTAGCTATGGCTGGCCCTTTCGGTTCAGTTATGTAAAACCGAACCGATCCAAAAACACAACCATTTTTAAACCGAATCGAATATAAAAACAAAATGGTTATGATTTTTATCAAAGCAAAAAAATTAAACCCAAATGTTAATATAAATTAAAAAAAAATCGACTTTTGGGAAAAGAACATTTTTATCAATAAAAAAGAAACCGAACAAAATCCAATAGAGAAACCGAATAGGTAAAGCATTTCAAAAATCGAAAAAAAACCAAATAGGTAAAGCATTCCTAAAACTAAATGATCATCGTCACTCCACATTTCAGAAAATAGACCAGATATCGACAATAAAGAGAGTATAGACGCACCAGATCGTATATCTTCCCCAACTTTTCCTTTGTTTTGAAGCTGTCTCATGATCATCGAGTAGATGAGATACCACCAATATATGTGAAATACAAGTAGCATCAGTAACATCGTGTTGAAGCCATAGTACATTGACATTCCTTCAGGCGTTGTTATATCCACGTAGCTCCCGAGTTCAGTGCTAAATATCAGAGATACAAAGGGAAAAACTTAAGTATAGTAAAAAAGAAAAGACTTTGAAGACATGATGAAACATTGATTTCTTTTATTTATTGGTTAACTAAAGACGAGAAATTGTGAAATAAAGTACAGGAATGTTGACATTCTCTATGAGAACTCGAGAAAAACTAGTCTCTATTAATCGAAACCAGTTCTGGTACCAAAACGACAAAAATAAATTATTGGAAAACAGATGCAGATCTGATAATAAGCAAAACATTTACCAACGATGAGTTAATGATAACGATGTGTACCTTGTAGCCCTGATGACACGAAACGGGAAGTATATTAACCGTAGCAGAAGCCATGAGAGAGCGAATAGTCCGAAACACACACTCGCTCCGAGTTCGTTCTCAGAGTATTTAAAAATTTTAGCAGATTCCATAAACACATCACTCGCGTCGTGAAGAGCTAGGATGATCGAACCAACCCGAAAAAACCTGTAGATTTATTAAATTCAATCAAAAAATGATTCTTTCATTTTTCAGTCACCCTTTCCACAGATGAACTACAGCTATGATGATTCTCGGTAACAGAGGTCATACATCAATAGAAAGCTTGCAAACACTTTGTTTCACTTCTCGTAAGCACTACTAGAACTTCACTCTATACCAATTAAGCAAGAAAATCAGTGTCTTTTGAGAACAATCATGGAGGCAAGCAAATATAAGTGCTTCAAGGTCCTGTTACCTTGTTAAGAATGAATAGCCAATCAGGAGGATGGTGATTATATGATGAGACATCATAACAGCAAAATCCTTCCTTCTCGTCTCCCATGTAAGCAATGCAGCAACACTATACAGATAGAATCCGCATTGACACATGTAGTATATCTTTAGAGAAAGCCTACAGCAATAAGTAGATCGAGGTTAGTCATGAGCTCTGCTTATCGTACTATCATAAATGTATCGAATGTAGAAGGGGATGCTGAATGTTCTGTTCATGACAGATAAATCCCCGATACTTGAATTTCAGACAAATAGCAACTGCCCCAAAAGAGAAAACAATGACAAAGAAAATAAGAAAGGGAATGAGAGACAAAATCAGAGACAAATGAGAAATAGAAGATCGTGTAAAAACCTTTTTCTACGACAGCATGAGGTTGTACTTCAAATGAGGTATAAGACTAATGAGACAGCCTAGGTCGAGTTGAATGAAAAAAAGGAGTGATGCAAAAGTGGGGAAGACAACTCAAGTGAATGAAGCTGGTCCACTTTTGAAGATGGAATAAGCAATTCTCAAGTGCTGCACTCACTGAAAGGAAAAACCGTATGTGATTCATGTAGAAGGAAAGTACTAAGGAACTCCTCTGCAATCTACATCTACATCGTTGGGTATATTTCAGTCCGGATACAATTAAAGAAAGCTTCCCAGAATCGAGCCTATACTTTGGATGAAATATTGAAGGAATCATTTGATAAAATCTTTTAAGCATGGGAGTATCATATTAAGCACGCGAATCACATTTCCATCTAGTCTACAGCACACATGGGCCTTTGGTTTCAACAAGTAACGAAACTGAAAGGTTTCTACTGACATGACCATCTTATCCACCCAGCATGTTAAAAAAATGAGTGCAATTGCTGGTACCTGATTCTAAATCCAGATAGTGAAGAACACATATGATCATGCATTACGCGCTAATCAGATAGACGAAACAAATATCCGATTACAAAAGTAAATTAGAAACGAAAGTGATCGATTACTCACTTTAACTCTTGATTTGGCCAACCATTGAAATACTGACGTGTGTCACTGAACCACGGCTCGCGATAGATGACTTTGAGAACAAATATTTCACAACTGGCATAGTATGCGAATTTCCACAAAGACTCCATGCATTTGACAATTTTCGCACGGGTTGCATCATTCGTTTTATGCGAGGCAGAACCGATACTTAAAAGCCAGACAGCGATCCTCTGAAAGATTTGAAGGAAAAATAATCAAACTTCATACATCAACATCGACATCGACATCGACATCGACTTAAACTTCATATCTCTTGTAAATTTATAAGTTATGATTAACCAGCATCAATCGACAAAGCAGTCATTACTAGTAAATAAGAGTTATATTTTTCTTCAATCTTCAAAAAGATTTTCAAAAAAAAAAAAAATCATGCCTTGGAAATCATCCCTAAGCTCTAAACAAAATCAATAAGAATGCCCAACTCCACATAAATCACGATATTATTTTGCTAAAGCGAATATGTATAGCTTAAAGAGCAAGAATATGGTTGAAGTGCAAGCTCGTTCAATCCTTATATCTAATTATTCTTCCGCAATAAGTGAGAAAGAAATCACTAAATGCTATGTTCTTCATTTACGTTCACAATCTGCAGTTCGAATTATCCCATGATATGCTCGCATTTGCCCCTCTGCAATTTCTATTTTCGCAGAAGAATCAAGCATAACGCTATCTATCGCTCGAGAAATAGACACCAACGCAGATAACACGAACAAATTTAACATAACATAAAACCAAAAATTCTACGAAAGCGAAAATAGAGAGAGATTCTTACGTGAAATACGAATCTGTCGAGGATGAGTCTAGAGAAGAAGAATCCAAACGCGAAATAGACAGCAACCGAGAAATGCCGAAACTCCAGCGGCGCATCAAGCTTGCCGGCGCCGGCGCCGGCGCCACCTATCCGTACAGACAAGGGTTCCATGTCGGGGCTCAAAATCCGCCGCGGAAATCGATTTCACAGTGAAATCATCAAGATGAAACAAAAAAAACTTCCCCAATTCGATCGATTCTGATGGAACAAAAAAAAAACACTCCGACACAGAGCCGGAGAAAGAAATCCGGATTGATTTGGAAATATCTTGGAATCGGAGACGAAATCGTTCTGATTTTTGGATGTTCTTAGATTTGCTATACAAAGACGGAGAATATGAAGTTGAAGGAACAATGGCAGAGATTCGAAGTGCAGTTATAATCCTCCGATTTTGACACACAAAAAAAAAAAAAAAATTGTGAACGACAGATTGTCGTAAGATTCTTTTATTACAAAATTCCTTTTATGTATTTATAATCCTTATTTATTAGTCATTAATTTAAAATTAGTGGTAACACAAAAGTCCCATAAGAATAATAAATGAAATTACAAAAAATTAAATATAATTCCTTTTCTCTAAATAGAACCGAAGTTTTACATTAATGAAATGTTAATCAATATTAAAATAGAAATCTTACCATCATTTTAACATACAGATATTTCAATCATTGTCATGTAATAGTTTAATTACGTTTATGCACGTTCGATAGTATTTTCAGAAAACAAAAAATATTATATGAAACTTTACATAATTAGTGGATTTATATTAAAAAAACATATATAAATTTTTTTTTAATAATTTCGTATATTTTTATATAATTTTCTTGCTTTGAACTATGCCAATTCTTTTTACCCGTATTTAATATCTAAATTTTTTAAGATTAATAATCCAACAATATGTAATATAAAAAAAATATAATAATACAATAACCGAGAATCATATTATCAGATCTTACATCTACCAAAAACATCTCCATGCTACCAGTTGCCTTCCTAAAGCTAAAAACCACATTCCTCACTTGAAGCGTCTTCTTTTTCTCATGTAAATGTCCAGACAACTAGACGAAGATGACTTCAAATCGGGCACAAGGGTTACTCTCCAAGTGTGTCCTGAAACCCGAGTCCCCGCCCTCGAATCTGAAGTTATACAACGCGTCTCGTTGAGTGAGGCCAAGAGGGTATATCCGATACACTCTCAGCTCGTCGTCTTCTCCTCTTAAACCTCTAGGCCGTTCGTTCTTCCACACCGGCTCATGCTTCATAGACTTGAATTTCTCGAGAATCGCAGATTTCAGAGCCTCTAGAGTCAGATTTCCGCTCCTGTCCATCAGTCCGAAAAACTCGGTTTAGTGCCCTTCGTGAACAAAATAATGCAAAGAGACGATCCACGAGGATCTACCCCGGATTTTCTACAGTTGTGTATGGCAAATCCTGGTGATAAATCATCACAATTACTTTGCTGTTCTACTACTTGCTTGCACAATGTAACAAACAGTCGCTAAAACAAGGTCTTGTGTCATCGGTGTACCTGACCTCGGTCTTGTCCCTTTCGGATTTCTCAGACGGATTATCAGATCTCGCCCTCATATGGCTCGGGTACCCGATGACACGTGGGCTCGAGTTGACTCATCAAATCGCTTACAGTAAAGGTTGTGGTTTGTTTGAAAAATTCTTTCCCGACAAGCAACCAGACTTACCTCAAGAAGATGGATTCCATGTCGAAGCGACCCCTTTCTCTTACATACAAATGGTATACAGTCTCTTGTCCACTGGTGCACTTGCACAGCCTTTTCTTGAACTTAGGGCTCTTTTCTTCTTCCTCTTCCCGGATTTTCGTCGCCAAGAATATGCAGAGACGGCAAGATGAGTGTACAGCCGCCATATCGACTAACGCCTTGAAAGAATCTGAAGGGCCCTCATATTTCCACCTAATCGAACCATATATATATATGTATATATACCGTAAAATTAAATTACACGTCTTTGGGAGTATTTTCTGTAATCAATATATATACCTTAGAGTCTGATTATAGGCTTCGGGGTTAGTTGCGAGATACTTCATTCTCTTTGCGACTGGCTTAACATCGTCCATATTCTTAATGTGGAGGATCGAGCCGGGAGCTGGAGCGAATTCTTCGATGTTTGGAGCACCAACAACAACCGGGACAGATCCTGTAAGAAGTGGATGTCGAAATTGCTCATTAGAAATAGAAAATAGACTTCTGGAACGTAAATGAGGCTGAGATGGTCTTAGTTAGGGGTGACTAATTTGGTTAATAACCGAAAAACTGAAACTGTAATCAACTAGAATAACATATAAAAACGAACAATTATGATTTCTCTAAAACCAAACCGAACAAAAAAAATAACCAAAAACACTGAAAATTTCTTTGAAAAATGAATATTTTTATCAATAAAACCGAAACAGAACAGAACCAAATTCAATATAAAAACTGAAACCTGAAATGGCCACCCATCTTAGTCGGGTTTGTTTTTCTTTTATTGGGCATTGGATTTTATTTTATATGCATATATGTGTGTGATGTGTATATATATGTATGTATATACTTAAAAATATATGTATATATATGTATATATGAATATTTATGTTTGTAACTATATGTGTATTAGTATGTATGTATATTTGTAAATGGGTTAATTCGGTTTGAACGGGTTTAATGGATCGACCCAGACCAACCCAACCCGTTATTTACTCCCACCCAAATGGGTTGGATCCAGATGGATTGGTCAACCAATGGACATCCCTATTGACATAAAACATCCTTACAGGCTACAGCATCTTATTAATCTAATGAAACAACTGGTAAGAGTTTGAGAGTGTACCGGCAACAAGAGACTGGAAGAACTTCTCGGTGACGTAATCCTCCTCATTGGAATTCTCGAAAGCCAAACTGAATTTGTAGCGTTTAAGAGCTTCAACCTTATCCACTGTAAGAATTTTAAGACTCAACATGGTTAGTACAAACTGTGAAAGTTCGATGATCTCCCTATTTGGATGAACTTGCAAAGTGATTTTTCATAGCATTACATACACACACGCACATACATACATACATACCTCTTCCATCCCGGTTCCGGTGGCAACCACCATAAGAATCAATCTTGAAATGCTTCATTAGGGCTTCAAGTGCCTGTAGCCGGAAATTCCGAGCCCCGCAGTTGGAGATAAAAGCAGCTGCAAGAGCTTTCTCGGTCTTTGGTAACGGTGGAGCCATGATATTATATTCAGCCCACGAAAAATACCCGACAGGAACATCAGATGAGAGACTGGTGGTCATCACAACATCGTATCCCCTCCTAGTGTACAATGAAAGAATTCAGACCACCAGACCGGTAATTAGAGGTTTCGAAGGCATTAGAAAGAAGAAACTCCAGGAATAAAACGTCGAATTTATTTCGTGGGCATTCACTGAAGTGTGTGCTTTTCTACCATTAACATTTGCTTACCCACCGGCGTGCCTGAGAGAGATCATTCTCTTGGTAGTACTGTGCTGACTCCATGGAACGGATTATACTGAGTGTTCCGGGCTGATGACCTAATCCGAAAGCCGCATCAGGTTTCTTGTCTGAACTGAATCCAAATGTACAGTCAACAGAACATGTCTGAAACTCCTACAATTTAGAAAACTGGAGTCAGCAAATCAATACAGAAACTGGGTTAAAAAATGGCATACCTTCTGATGAAGAGAATGGAGTAAAGTCCTTATCGAGTGAACTAACCCCGGGAGAGAAAACATATCAAGTGTGTAATGGAGCATTAAGTGATAAACTCAAGTAGAAACGAGAAAAACCGTTTCTTCCTCGACAAATCCAAAAACTCCACATTGGGGTAAATCGGGTTCAGCCTTTCAGACACGCTCCAGGAAGATAAAGCATTATGTCTCAGGACAGTCTTGGACACAATTAAGTATCTTCAGGTTAAGGCAGTGGTTACAACCTATTGGTATCATTTCTCCCCCTACACAATTACTAAACATCTCCAAGATAGCATTTTGATCGGACGCGAAAGACGAATCTCATAAGCTCGAAGAAAATTACCAGAATTCTTTCTATAGATATACCTAATCATCCAATCCATAAGGAGGAGACTCGTGAGTTTTTGTCCATTCCCATGATTCACACATTATCATCAGACAAAAGCCAAGAGCTTTACACTCCTTACACATATTCAAATAATAGATCATATAGCCTCGGTAACTACAACTCAGAAAAAACATGATGAAACACAAGATTGTCAAACTCAACATACCCTTGATTCGATTCAAGAATATGTTCACAATTCCGAAGAGCACGTACATATATCGCTTTGAGACAAACCTTTTCACCACCAGAGACGAAGACGGGATCCTTTGTGAAATCCCTAGAATAAACCACCGAATCCTCTCTCTCCAACCACTCCTCACAGCTCTCCGACGCGATCCCGGTCTTCAGGTCGGAGCGCGAAGACGATGGAATCCGCGAGACCGAGAAGAAATCGGTCAAGGTATCGACGATAGCTGCGTTATCGAGACGACCCAGAAACCCGATCTCGATTATAACCACTAAAACCACGCATATTGGCAACAAGCTCGATAATTTCCTCTTCACAGACGACGACGACGAAGACGAAGAAGAAGAAGAAGAGCCATTGGGCTTGGCTAATCCATCATGGGTCGATCCAATTCTGGGTCCTCGAAGATTCGAGAAAAAACCCATGAAAGGAAACGACGAATCCAAGACAAAAGGTCTCAACTTCGAAGGCTGTGTCCTGCGAGGGAAATCTTCTGTCAATGGGATGAAGCTGAGTTTGGCTATGAACTCTGTTTTGAATCTACCAAAGTCAATGTGGAAGTTTGTTTTGGTCATAGCATTAGCCATATGGTCAATTTCCATAATATTGCATTTAGTTTTATTTATTATATATTTCGTACAGTTGCATGTTTTATATGAAATTTTATACATGATTTATTAGGAGACATCGTATCAGTTTTGGTTCCACTTGAAACTGAATTTTCCGTCCATATTACAAATTTATAACGAACCTATTATAACTATTATTAAAACCCAAAATATTATTCCACCGTATAAAAATAAGACAGTGAATTCAAACAAAAAAAAGAAAGATAAGACAAAGGAATGATGAACTTATTTGTCACAATGCAGGCGATCCAAGGTGAAAAATGCTCACCAATTTTTTTTTTTTTTTTTTTTTTGGTATGTAGTTTTGGGGTTTCGGGGGATCTGGTTTGGAAAAAAATTTTTAAAAATTTTTTTTTATCATTTTATTTATTAGGAGACATCGTATCAGTTTTGGTTCCACTTGAAACTGAATTTTCCGTCCATATTACAAATTTATAACGAACCTATTATAACTATTATTAAAACCCAAAATATTATTCCACCGTATAAAAATAAGACAGTGAATTCAAACAAAAAAAAGAAAGATAAGACAAAGGAATGATGAACTTATTTGTCACAATGCAGGCGATCCAAGGTGAAAAATGCTCACCAATTTTTTTTTTTTTTTTTTTTTTGGTATGTAGTTATGGGGATTCAGGGTATCTGGTTTGGAGAACAATTTTTCAAAATATTTTTATATCATTTCTGTTTATGGCAAAAATGATTCATAACTAATTTGAATTAACATTATTAGGAAGATGAAACGCACGATCATTTGTTTTTTAGATGCTCCTATAGCAAGGAAATTTGGCTGTCTTTAGCAGAAAAAATCTGGTCGAATCCTCCGGCAGAGCTCGCGGGATGCCAAGTCTGGTTGAGCTGCATCTCGGGGCCAGACACGGTTAGCCGAAGAACATTACTAAAGGTACTAATTCAACACTCTCTCTATGAAATCTGGAAGGAAAGAAACTCTCGGATCTTCCAGAACTCGACTGCTACAACTCTAATGCTCAGACGCCGAATAGACCGATCTGTCCGAAGCACTCTGTTATCGCTCCAACAAGTACGCGACTGCGAAAGCAATAACCTACTCGAGAAGTGGTATTCCCTCACTCTTTACCGAGATGTACGAGTATAAATGCTGATTTGATATGTAATTTATTCCTTTGTAAGGTTTTTTGGCGTAAGCTTTATGTGTGGATCGAAGATCCTAAATCTTGAAATCCAAACCGATAAAAAGAGAAATTAGGGAAACTTCCTGATTTTTATGATATGATCACTCGATTCCTTCTTCATGCAACATTCTCAATCCAATATGCTGCAGAATATTTCATGGTTTCCTTTCTTAAATGTACAAGTGTAATCTTATTTCCCTTGTAGAGTTCATGCACACATATGGTATGTTCTTGATATCATCCATATATTCTAACAAATATATTTATGCTAATTGTGGTGTCTCTCGTATGTCTTAAGTTGAAATCCGATTAAAAAAGTTAAAGTGAAACAAGTACTACTATAACAAACAAATCGCATATTTTAAAACTTATTTTCTTCCCTCCAACTGATACTTTTCTTGTAGGGCAATATCACACATATGTCATATAACGTAAAGATTTGTGGAATAATATGATAATTCATTCATAGTCAATCACATATAATAAAATACATAAAAGTCACAAACAAAATAAATAAACTAAAGATAACATCAAATATTTATAAATCGTTTTAAATATTTATTTTTTAAATTTAATAAAATCTCTACGGTACAATATATATCATAATATTCTTCACGATTTTGTATATCTCAATGTCCCCTCAAATTGGAGTGTGAAAATCCAGAAATACCCAACTTACTAAGAAAATGATCAAACGCATGCCGTTTGAACTACATTTATGCGTTATGACCCTATATAATTTATTTGTGTATATATATAAACACACAAATATATATATTGCAATGTGATATTGGAATCAATCACAATCATTTAGTTCGACTATTATCCCTTACATCCATTTATCTATAGTTTTGCATCGATATTATTATGTCAAATTAAAAATATCCAAATAAAAAATAATCCACAATCATAACAATATACTGAAATATAATTGAAATAGTATATAGGTTCAAAATCGAAATCCAAAAAGAAAAGTTCGAATTTTAAAGTATGAAATGAAGGGGAACAGTAAAATGATTCTTCGAAATGAGAATTTTATTTATATCGCTATTTTATTCTCATACTCTTGTGTGGATCTTCTTGTACATCGTTTTAAAATTATTAAAATTATGGTGAAACGTTTTAGATATATTTAATAATACAATTTCTTAAAAATATTTAAGTTTAATTACCTTTGGGATATTTGTTTCTTTTGTTTTTCTATCTTTGGATCGTGAAGCATCGTCAAATATGTGTGGTATAGTGAACAAATGATGTTTAATCATGAAATTATATGGTGTCACTTTAATTTGGAAAGTCAATTGTTTTTCAATGATAAGAGTAAAACACTTTGATATCTCTACACTTTCTCCTCACCAACTAAATGAGTAACATAATTTTAAATCATAAAATAATAATTAAATATATATAAATATTATAATAATAGTCACATGAAGAGTAGTTAACAAAAGTAGTGTAAAATGTTGAAGAAATTTGAAATGTGTAAAATAATGTACATTAGTTTCAATTGTTTCTGAACCATGTTAAACAGCTTAGTCATTTTTCTATCGAAGACAATCAATATTTGGACTCAAAACATTGAAAAGTAAAATTAGTAGACAACGAAAACTCGTTAATCATAGATATAAAATATAAAATAATGAAGTTGTAATTTTAAAAAACTAGAAAAATACATCATCACTCCAACAACATTTATGTTGTAACAATAATTATAAAACAATGATGTTGATGCTTTTACTAATTTTCTAAAGCACTTACCACAAACAATATACGCGTAACCATTTTTAGTCAAATATCAATAATTGTAGTTATGCATAAGAAATCTCTTTCTATAGTTGGGTAAAAGATGATTACTTTTTGGCAGAATTAACGATGTATATTTCAACTATTAAAATATAAATTTTATATGTTGCTTAAGAATCGTTTATTGTGTTTTAATCCTATTCAGTTTTGTCATACCTGAATTTTTTACATTGTGATAAAATCAAACAATTCTGATATAGAAACAATCTTCATCTTGATAACCGTATAAATGGATTCCTTGTAATCTAAAAATCTAAAAATCTCTTTATGTATCTCAAAATCTAAAAAACCTTTTTGGCATCTTAATAGTTTTGTCTCCAACTTCTAAAATATTAGTTAGCTCTGTGAAACGAATAGATAACTTGAAATCAATTAGTCTAAAGTGTCAATTAACCCTCAACTTCAAAATCAGTGATAACATTTTACCCTAACATAAATTACTTCTTCACGAAGGCAACTTTGTAGTCATTCAAACGTTGTCTACTTATAGGTCCTTGTATAACAGTTGATTGCAAACGCTGTCTATTTGGATTGTGAAACGTCGTCAAATATGTGTTCCACAATGAATAAATGATGTTTAGTCGTGAAATTATACGTTATTACTTTAATTCGTAAAATCAATTGTTTTCCGATGATAAAAGTAAAACACTTTGCTGTCTCTACACTTTTTTCTTTCACTAGGTAAATGAATAACATATTTTTAAATCATGTCACAAAAATTATATATTAAATATTATAATAATAGTCATATGAAGAATAGTTAACAAAATTAAAATAAAGAAGTATAAAAAGTTGAAAAATTTTAAAATGTGTAAAATAATGTATATTAGTTTTAATTGTTTCCGAACTACGAACGTTAAACAGTTTAGTCATTCTCATAGCATTTGTGTCATGAGAATAGTTATAAACCAATGATTTTGATGCTCTCGCTAATTTTTCTAAACCATTACTACAAACAATATAGGTCAAACCATTTCTACTCAAAACATTAATAATTGTAATTTTGCATAAAAATCCTTTCGTATAGTTGGGTAAAAAGATGACTACTTTTTTGCAGAATTAACTGTGTATATTTAAAATTTTAAAATATGAGTTTTATAAATTGCATAAGAATCGTTTATTGTGTCTTAATCATATTTAATTTTATCATATCTGAATTTTTTATATTATGATGAAATCACACAATTCCGATATGAAAAAAATCTTCATCTTCATTACCGTACGAACGGGTTCTTCGTAATTTCAAAACTTAAAAATCTCTTTACGTCTCAAAATTTAAAAATCTCATTAGGTATTTCAGTGGTTGTGTCTCCAACTTTTAAAATATTAGTTTACTTCGTGAAACAAATATATAACTTGAAATCAGTTAGTTTAAAATTTTCATTAGCGCTCACAAGTTTAAAATCAATGATAACATAAATTACTCATTCACGAAGGCATCTTTGTAACCACTCAAATACTGCCTATTTATAGATCCTTATATAATAGTTGATAGCAATGCGACAAAGAAGATATTAAGAAAATAAAAAGTAAAAGAAACAATTACATTTGTTTTCACAAAAAACAATTAACTTTTGAAAATGTTACCATGTTGTTCTCTATTACCTCTTCGTCAATGAGCAAAAATTAATACTCATAAGATCACCACCTTTATTTACATTTTGAGCTTCCCAAATGTAACGATCCAAAATTCGGTATTTCAGACCTGTTGAATCGTCACTTAGGTTTTAAAAAGAAAGATTCGGTTTATTCTTAACACCATACTATCATCTCAAAATCTGCAATTACCAAGTCCTACCACTTGATCTACTTCACTTTTCATCTCTGGGGAAAAATGAAAGGGTGAGCTACGCGAATAGCTCAGTGAAGTTGCAAAACTATAAACCTCGCCTCCATATCCAACATAGACAATTAAATAGAAACAAAATTCAATCAATATTCAACTCAAGCAAAACTCAATCTAT